GAATTGACTGGCCATGGTGGTGACTCATGCCTGTAATCCCAGCAGCTTTTGAGGCTAAGGCAGGTAGATCGCTTTGAGGCCAGGAGTTCAAGACCAGTCTAGCCAACATGGCGAGACCATGTCTCTACTAAAAATACAAAAATTAGCTGGGCATGGTGGCACATGCCTGTAATCCCAGCTTCTCGGGAGACTGAGGCATAAGAATCTCTTGAACCCAGGAGGCAGAGGTTACAGTGAGCTGGGATCTCGCCACTGCACTGCAGCCTGGGCTCCTGGGTGACAGAGCGAGACTCTGTCTCAAACAAATGAACAAAACAAGAAGAAGAAGGGAATTTGGACACAAAGACACAGGCAGTGGGTCTCCTATCTATATAAGAGAACAGCATGTAACGACACAGAGGTGCACACAGAAAAGAAGGCGAGTTGAAGACAGAGGCAGAGAATGGGTTTATGCTGCCGCAAGCCAAGGCACGGTTGGAGCCAACGGCAGCCAGAAAAGCCAGGAAAGAATTCTTCCCAAGAGCCTTCCAAGGAAGCACGGCCCTGCAACACCTCGATCTCAGACTTCTAACCTCCAGAACTGTAAGAAAAAGAAATTCTGTGTTCTAAGCCACCCAGGTTTGTAGTACTTTGGTAAGTATTTTTAAATGACTGAATGAATAGAAAGAACTCAGAACATAACATGGAAACAAAACCTCAGATGTGGTCTTCCTCTGTAAAAGGTAGCATCTGGGTGAAAGGCCTAAAGCCAAGTCCTCCCACTGGAGGCCCTGGACCCACGCAGCAGGCTGCGCCTGTTCTCTGACTGTGGTGCCAGTCGGAGCTGCCCTCAGGCAGATCACAGAGTCTGCTCCTCTCTCAGCCTTTGCAACCCTGTGGCGCATTTTTGCTCTCAGAGAGCCCTGCGTTGTGTGTAAAAGCAAGGTGCTTAGGTAGACCAAGAGATCTTCATCCAGGAGGCAATCTGGCAATGGCCCAGAGAGAAACAGGTACAGTTGGAGCTAGACAATGATCATGCCTTGTGCGTTTTCTTTGACTATTTTCATTTGGTTTCCTACTTATTTTCAATAAAACGTTTTTGTAGCATTTGTCCCAGTGACGTAACCTTGGCCCAGTGATGCTAAGGAGGAAGGGAGTGGGCTTTAAATTTTGTCTTCCTTGGGCCGGAGTTTTAAAGAGGAATCAGCTTACCCCCAGGGCCAGGTGAGCTGGGAGGAAGCAGTGTGAATGGAAAGGAGAGGAGCTAAGGGGAAGATGAAATGTTGGGGCTCAAAACCGGTTGCCCTCCCTGTCTGAGCATCTCTCTCTGAAATTACTTTCTGATCAAAGGTCAGTGCAATTTGTGTTTAGTCTGAACCTGAAGAATTGTTCCTTTAGAGGCTGCAACTGCCAAAGCCTTAGTTAGCCAGCTGTGCTGCTGAAAGAGAAACCACCAGGGATATTCCCTAGAGGAAATCGAGGTCTCTTCTTCCTGGAAAGTTTCCTGAAACATGAGATACCGATGATGATGATGATGATGATGATAACGACGACAGTCGCAGTCATGGCTAACATATGCTGGGCATTTTTCTGTGCCAGGCAGGCAGTGTTTCTCTGAGCATCTTCCCCTGTCAGCTTGTGAGCTGGGTCCTAGTACTATTCCCCTTTCGCAGATGAAGAAACTGCCCATGGCCACAGCCCACTGAAGATGAAACCAAGATTCTCTGTCTAAAGCTGTTGATTAAAAATAATAGGCCGGGCGCGGTGGCTCAAGCCTGTAATCC